CACCAAAAAGCTTATCGAAAAAGCCTAAGGTAAAAAAGTCGGAACCTAAATTATCTGAGTGATTGTGAGCATTTTATGCCCACAGCATCATATCCTATCCAGGCCACCCAAACCACTAGGCTTCGCTTGCAGTACAAAGCTTCTTGAAAGTCGAAAGCATCGACTCAAATATGGTCTAAAGAAATTTTCTGTAAATCGGCTATGACTATTTCACGACCTCCAGTACAAATCAAATGGGTTAAAAAAACTCGAAAGAATGTCGAAAGTGTGGCGTGCCACTGATGGGCGTGACAAGTGGTAAGACTGCCTGTTAAAGTTGCAGTACTTTTGAAAAAAATCCTGAAATGGGACAATCTGTCCCCCTGGAAGGGTTCTCCACACAGCCATCCACAACCACGGCCGACCCTAGCATTGGTACATTTTAGAAGTTTATGACCCCTCCCCCTCTGAGGATTGTGGAGCAAACGTTAACTTACATATGGACGGGGAAGAAACCCGAGGCGCGGGAGTATATGAGGTTTTCCCCGGTCTCCCTGCCCTAATCAAATGAAATTTCAATGAAATTTGCACCTGCCTCTTTTGAGGGTCATACATTCTTCAAATTCGAGATTATGCGACAGAGTAAGAATATCATGCTCCAAAAAGTGTTGATATTCATTAAAAGTTAGTGTAATAAAAAAATTAGCACGTTGGTACTATTTCCCATACGCGAGTTTTCTCCCGTATACATGCGAGTTTTCAATCATCAAATGATCAGAGCTCCCTTCAGTGTCATTAATTTGGGACGCTGAAGCCAGTACAACCCTTTTCAAGATTCAAGCTTTCTAAAAAATACTGGATTTTTTTCTTACGAAATGACCAATTCGAAAATTGTTTCAATTAGGACTTTTTTGGTGGGTTTGTGGTTAGATGTGTGGTTGGTGCATGGCTGCGAAGGATCAGCTTTTATCATCCCTTATCACATTCTCTGAGCAACGAAAATGGCACATTCCTCTGCAACTACGGGTCCAGCTTCAGCATTCACGGGAGGGATTGTCCCAATAGAGAAATCATGGAATAAACCTTTGAACTAAGTTTATATTTCCTCAGAAAAAAGCCGTGGTTTTCGTGCACGACGCTTTCAGTACTTTCGATGGGTAATCTAGTAAAATAACTACAACATCATCAATTAATTAACAAAACTCAAATACCAGACATGAACGATGTTACCAGAAGGAACTCATGCTACACTTTGCACAATCACCCCTATTAGTGCAGTTCAGATCTTATTAAAGTTCGCAGATAAAGCTTTTTCCATAGATGCTCACATACCTGGAACAAACAAAACATCGGATGCACAAGGCAAGTGCCAAGCGCTGTGATAAAGTTGCTAGTGATCGGATTCTGGCAACCGTTACATTTTGGCGCAAACAGTCGGAAAAAGTCACGACGACAGTATGTTTGGCCATCCTGGAAAGGAAAATTTGTAGTAAATATACTTGTGCAGAAGGGGTGCTCACTGAGAAACAAGCGTCCGTACCGAACATGACTGATGTTAGTTTTTGTAAGATTTACTCTTTTACTTGAATCAGCTTTGGGATAGTCCGGGTGGTCTGCATCGTAACAACGACTTTACCAAATCGGTTTCAGAAGTCATTTTCACTAACAGCAAATGGTTTAATAAACATAGGCGGGGATTCCGGAATGAAACAAGTACAAGGGTAGTTAGCTGTGAAATCGCCGCATGGATGCCGCAGGAGCGAAATCCATCTATCGCTTCGGCTTACCGCCTACCGTATTTGTCCGGAGTAGATAAAAACACTATCTTGTCTCGAGGCCTAACTCTCAATCATGAAACGGCCATACTCAAACGCCCTATGAGAATAATGGAATTGCGAATGCGCGGCGCATTCCAAAGTAATCGATCAATACCTAAGGCTTCACACTTTGAGCTTTAATCTGTATCGCATCGAACTATACTCTTTCGAAAAGACGAGAAGAAAATCGAGTGCAGACCACACATCATAAGACACGACGGCCAAGAGGAAGCGGTTTTTTTCCTGACTGTCGTCTTTTATGGTGTGTGGTCCGCACTCGATCTTCTCTTCGTCTTCCGAAATCGAGGTTATCTAGGTGATTGCGTGGAACTTCGTCAATAATTTAACACTAATTTTGGGCCGAAGGTGGCTTGTCGAAAATTGGCCTTGCTTACGATGACTGGTAAGGTAATCGCACGGTTCAAAAATACAATTCTGTCGGTGCCAGCCAAAACCCTCCGTTTCAGCGCTTAGCGAGTGCTGATTTTTTTGTGAAGCTCATCATTTTTAGCAAATCCCTTTGGAAGTATAACAACGATGGTTGTCCACCTGCGGATCTTTTCAAGTCATCTCATGGGACTTATGCATTCAAGTGTCACTACGATCCCAAATGAAAGTCAAACGCATGCGTCGCATCTCGAAACAAACAGAATACAATTTTAGAGAGCCTTTTAATCTTTTTAGTGCTCCTTTCGAATATTTACTCAGTACTTCCGTAGCCCTAGGGACCATATGTTCGATTATAAAATTCCTAATCCGATTGCGAGCCTCCAAGGAATTCAATTAGCTCAATTAATATGTAGGATTTCAGTAGCCGCTCCACCAGTGCACACTGCAATCCAGTGTTAATGTTAGTGACGCGATGCTCCAAAAACATTGCCATGACATACACTACCAATCGGTATGCCGTTGTGTAATGAGTTATTGGTCGTTATTCCCAGTACACGCAGTACTCAATACCCGCAACTGCACATCAGCAGCATCAAAAGGACAAGAGCAATCGATAATCCAAACCTTCTCATGAAATCCATCGTCACCGAACTCCCGTCCACATTCGGTACACGTGAAACATTGTAGGTGGAAGTTCTTTCCCAGTGCCGTCACGCAACGCTAAAACGACTCGGTATTCGTCAACTGACTACTTTGAAATTGTTACCACAATTTCCGATGGAAGCCAAATGCATGGCGCATCCCTAATTGAAGAGGTTCTAGCAAAAATCCACTCACATCCTTGATCGGACCATTACATCCTGCACACCTTGGGCTAAACTGGTTATGGTAGTCCTCTTCACAATACGCACGGCCATTCCTGGAAAGAAAAGGCTTCATAAAACTTCTGATCCTACAAAGCCCAGATGGCCAGTTGGACCAACCTCTCGAAGAAATTCCTATGGCCAAGTTCCGATCCACATTCACAGCAAGTGTAGTGCTCTGGATGCCACATTTTTCCTAGCGCAATCACAACCTGAAGAAAAAAAATAAAGAAAAATGTAATCAGACTAAACATGTCATTTTTCGGTCAGATGCCCCTTTTACTTTTATCCAGTCAGACTCGGCTCCGCCCCTTTTTCTTGACTGTCCCGCCCACTAATGATGCTCTGGAAAGGGTGCTCTACCAAGGTAAACGCTCACGTTGTATTATAATAACTCAATGTTTTTTACGACCCCCACGGTAGAGATTCTTCATACAACCTCCTATCTATCTATAACTGCTTCTGTTTCTCTATTTCAACCTGTGACTATATGACACACCCCAACTCCGCCCGAAAATCCTCCAAAACCGCAGTTGAAGGAGAATGAGGAGAATTTAGAGGAGAAGTTGGAAACACGAGCGCTAGGACCGCAAGTTCTTATTTGTCCATATCGGCATAATTTTTCCTCCACTGCGACCTCCCCTCAAAACCCGAAAAAGACCCCGTAGAAGACATAACGTGAGCTCCTTCGTACCGATTTTCAAAACGGACGGTC